TAAATCTTTTTTGGTGAGAAAATAATAATGAATTTATATTGGGAAATTTTTAAGATGTATCTCAAACATACCATACGATATATACCAATAAGCATATATAGTAATTTTTATTGTTATGACAGATCTAATGTTTGAAATAATAATAATGGTAATAGTAATAATAGTAATAATAATAATAATAGACGATTTAAGGTTTTCTTTTTGTGTAGGATGATGACGAAACATGGATCAGGTGAATTGATGTAATGATAGTGATAATGACTACTAGTATATGATCATTTGATTATTGTTGTTACTTTTTATTTTAAGAAAAAAAAAGCGCGTGAGAGAGAGAGAGAGTTGTGGTTAATTGTACCAATTTAGAAGTATCACATAGAACATTAGAAGTTTTAAGACCAGAAGGTTCAAGAAACAAAAAATGTGATTTGATGTGATAAAGACCTAGATGATGGTGATAAAGGGGAAGAGGACAGGGGTAAGAGGAGGAAGTGTTGGATAAGAGAAGATAGCAAATTGTTACATGCCAGATGATTTTTTTTTTACGCAATTTGATAATCGTGTACTGCTCTTGAATAATAAACGAGAAACTTGATCCAAAACATGAAAAAAAAAAAAAAATCAAATAATGGAAAATGGAAATATTTTTTTTTTCCTTTTTTTACAAGTTTTAAACTTGTTTTTATTTTTTCCGTTATATTTTGTTTTTTTGCTGTCTGTTGAAAAATGAAAAGAACTTTTGAATAATTATTGTTTTTCACCCCTTATTACCACTTGACTCTTGAAGCACAATCAAAAGACGCGTAAACAAATGTAAAATAAAAATGTTGGGATGAAGATAAGGACAAACGACCTGATATCGTAACACTTAATAATTTCTTTAAAGATTTATTGATTATTAATAAAGATTATAAAAAATGGAAACCGTATCGGGAGAAAAATGATGGAGATGACGATGATGTCGAGAGTTGTTGTAATAGCTGTCGTGAAATTAATATCACTGATTATGTCACTACTCAATGGGATTTAACAATTCCTGAAAGAGTGCCTTAGAAGAGCTAGTTTTTTATTTAAATCTAAGACTTTGTGAATAAAATTTTAACTTTGTAAAATTACATGTTAATAATAAATTTAGGAATATTTTTAATAATTAATTTAAAAATAACCTCGTCTATTTTTCATTGTAAATTCAATGCAATTGCTTATTCCACTCACTCAACTCACAAATCATCGCTCTCTTGCCAATCCTTGTTCGTTGTCTTACTCTTTAAGTTTCTCATTGACTGTCAATAGTTGTTGTAGATTTTGGCAGGCGTGCGTTAGTTGAAAATAGCAAGTAAGTATACACTTGTACTAGCGTTTATATTTATCTATTAATAGTTATTATCACTCACTACATAATAATATATTTAATATATTACAAAATGCCAGTAGTCGTTGTTGTTGTATCACTAAATACAGCAGAGTTCTAAAATACTTGGGAGACGATCATGATCATTTAAAAAATATCATGCGGATTGTTTGTGCTAACCCAAATTTCGAAATTATTATTATTATTATAGATGGATTTTTGTCAAAAAATTACCAAGTTTGGTTAGTATAATCAATTCCGCGCACTGAAATTTGTACTCGCGTGAGGAATTTGTGTAGCTTAAACATTCTTTCTTATCTTTTAAAAAAATTTTTTTCCTTTAAATTAATTTAAAAATAAATAGATATGGCACCTGTTGATATAGCCGGCCCAATAGTAAAAGATGGTACCTTACAGAAGAAACCAATTAATTTTGTGAATCTTGCTGTTGGTGCTGGTAATTATTTGGAATTTCTGTAATTTGCTCACATACCTTTTCTTATTATAGCCAAAAAATAAAATGAATGATGGTTGGTTTACCAGAGGTTTTTGGGAACCATATAGCCACAATACTACTTATAATGGTAGAATTTATCATAACTGGCATTATATTCAATTGAAAAATAAATAAAATAAAATAAAAATAAAAATTTTATAATAATATTATTATTAATTTATAATTTATGAAAATTTAGGTTTGAATATGTTCGAAGTGTCTACCCTTGGGCAACCATTTGAAGTTACTAAAACACATTTGGCAGCTAACTGTAACGATGGTATTCTTACTTACTGCCTTGAAGAAAACATATAAAAGAAGTGGGGTTTTATCAAGTGTTGATACCTTGAGCATGGATTGAAGCTAGCACAAAGGTAATTGATTGATTGATCAATTTATTCGTTAGTTATTTGGTTGGTTGTTCAAATGATTCATTCATTAATTCATTAATTTATTTATTATTTAATTATCAAAGGGTGCAACACTTATAACACCCAAAATACCACCCTTTACTAAAAATTAAACAAAGTTTAAGTTACTATGATATTTAAAATATTGTTCGTTGGTCATGAAATGTATATATATGCATATATATTAAAATACCAAAAATGAGGCCCACCAGCTACTCGTGTACTGTGTTCAATTTCACCTTCAGTAAATATAATGGCTGGAGGTTTAGCGCAAGCATACACCACAATGGGTTTATGAAAACAGTTGAGGTTACTCATCATAAAGCACCTGCTGGTCAAGAAACCTCAACATTAAAAGTTGCAGCTGATGTTTGGAGAAAAGAGGTAATTCGTGGTATAAATAAAGTTGTTGATGCTGTAGCTCTAAGACAATGTACAGATTGGGCTAGTAGATTTAGATCAACAAGGTTAAGTGAAACTGCTATCTGGATAATACGAAATGGTGAGGTGGTTGGTTATTCTAGACCATTGTCACTCATTCAAAAAATTTTAGCAAGTGCCCTTAGTGGTGGCTTGTCTTGTTGGAATCAAGTAATTATATATATTTTAATTTTAAAAAAAATTTCTCTTTCTCACATTTCCTCTTTCTTCTTCTCAAAGTCAATTGAAGTTACTCGTGTGAAAATGAAATCTCAAGTACAAACACCAAGACGTCCTAAAAATATGACAATTGTATCATGTGCTAAATATATTTATCAAAAATAATGGATTGAAATGGGTTTATCTCCTAAAAGTTGGACTTATAATTTGGCAAGCAATCTGTATGATGTTTGGTGGTGATTATGTCAAGGTAAATTTTAGAATGCTTTATCACCATTATAATTTTTTTTCTTTTTGTTTATTATTTAGGGTATAATTGCCCAAAGACAATTAACTCAAAACATTTAGAATATAATTTATACGTTGTTTTTTAATTTATTTTATTTGTTTTGCTGAAATCTGTAAATAAAATAAAATTTTGGTGTACAAATCAAGACGCGTTAGTTTAGGATGTGTTTATTTTCAAAAATGATATAAAAACAAAAAACAAATAAAAATTTTTTCATTTTAACTTGTTATTTATTTCTTTAATAATATTAATAATAATAAACAATAAATAATATTTAATATTTAATAATGTCTAATAATAAAGAGGAAGAGCAAGAACTTCAAGAAGAAGAAGTAGTTGAAGAATATAATTGCGGCTATACAGCCATTGAAAAATTAGAGGTAAAAGGCTAAAAAGGATTTACTTACTATTTGTTCTTAAGGAACCAAGTAATAATTTAAATATATATGAAATCAAAAAGCAATTAGGAATAAATACTACTGATATCAAAAAACTCAAAGATCACGGTTTCCACACACTTGAGTCAGTTGCATACACACCTAGAAAAGCATTATTAAATATTAAAGGAATTTCTGAAGCAAAAGTTGAAAAAATACTAACTGAAGGTATTAATTTATTATTTTATGATTCACAAATTTCATGTAACCATTTTATATTTATAAAATATGATTGGATAGTTGGTAAAATAATAATTTTAGGATTTCAACCAGCAACAGAAATCCAAAGAAAAAGACATGAACTTGTTTATATCACAACAGGATCCGATCAACTTAATAATATTTTAGGAGGTAATGAAATATTTTCAATGGCCTATAATCACCAAATTCAAATATATATACAGTTAAATTCGTAATTCTTTAATTTTAAATTAGGTGGAATTGAAACGGGCTCAATAACTGAATTATTTGGTGAATTCCGTACTGGAAAAAGTCAATTATGTCATACGCTTGCTATCTCGTGTCAGGTAAATGATTTATCCATGTATACGTATACATTTATTATTTAATTGATATTTAATTGATGTTATGTGGTATCTTTAGCTTCCTGCAAGTATGGGTGGCGCTGAAGGAAAATGTATTTACATTGATACGGAAAATACCTTTAGACCTGAAAGATTAATAACTATTGCAGAAAGATTTGGGCTTAATGGAGAAGAAGCATTAGACAATGTGGCAGTAGCAAGAGCTTATAACACGGATCATCAATTTGATCTTTTAATTAATGCTGCTGGAATGATGTCAGAAACAAGGTTCAATTAATTAATTTTAATATCAATAACATCAATTCTTAAGTTCATATAACTTATTCTAATAAATCGATTGATTGATTTTTTTCTTAACAATAGATTTGCTGTTCTAATCGTTGATAGCGTAACAGCATTGTATAGAACTGATTATGCTGGAAGGGGTGAATTGGCTGCACGTCAAATGCATTTAGCAAAATTCTTACGATCTCTTCAACGTTTGGCTGATGAAGTACACACACACACACATATATATGCGTTTGTGATTATTATAGAATTAATTAATTATTTAATTAATTAATTATCCATTATTTGTATAGTTCGGCGTGGCTGTTGTTGTGACAAATCAAGTTGTTGCTACTGTCGATGGTAATATGGCTATGTTTGGTGGTGAAACTAAGAAACCAGTAGGAGGAAATATCATGGCACATACTTCAACTACAAGGTAATTATTGTTATATATCAATAAATAAATATATATATTGCGACTTTTTGTTGAACTTTTTTTTTCTGTAGACTTTATTTTCGTAAAGCTTCTAAAGAAAATCGTATATGTAAAATATATGATTCACCATGTCTACCGGAAGCTGAAGCAACATTTGCTATTGGCAAAGGTGGAATTGAGGATGCTAAAGATTAAGATAAATTCCCTTTTTTTAAACAATCTTACGGATTTGTATTATTTTTTAATTTTAGGGACTTCCTAAATTTTTTTAAAAAAAAACATATGATATTTTAAATTGAACTTGACGTATTCCCAAATTCATAACAATGTACAGTGTGTTGCGACAAAATTGCGCATGAATTGTAAAATTGATTTTGATAATAATAAAAAAATTGCGTTTTTACATGATTTATTGTATTAGCATATGTTTGTTTGCTTATCAGTAATCATCTTTACAAGGGAAACTATCCTTTATTTTTTTTCTATTTAGACCTTGCAAACATTGTCAGCGCAGAACTTGAAGCACAATGTCAAACGATTGGTTTTACATTATTGGTTGAATGGAATTTATGATACCAAAAAAATACGTCAAAAAACTTTCGTACTATTCAATGTAACTTCAAAAAACTCAGAGAAACAGGTACTATTGAACAAATGGTCGGCCATCTAAGATTACACAAACAGTGTCACGTTCAATCGGGCAAATTAAAATTCAAGAGAATATATCCATCTCACATACAAATATTTGGCGACACACGACAAAAAAAAGATATAATAGTGATATACCACTTGCCACCTCGCTCACCAAGAATCATATTGATGCTCGAAAAGTATGCTCATTTTAATGAAAACTGGGATCGTACCAACTTTGCAGATGAAGCAGTCTTTGACAAAAGGTAATGGCTTGGGATGGAATTTCATTGAATGGCAAAACCCCATTGTTTTGTTTTACAGAAATAATGGATGAATGGTCTAGTTTATGTAAATACTTTGCGGACCAGCTTCTTCCTGCTGCTCAACAGTTATATGGTAATAACTGACATTTGCAACAAGGTAACGATCCTAAACACAATCCACGTGTTGTAAAGGACTTTTTATCCCAAAACAATGTCCATGTCATAGACTGGCCACTTAACAGTCCTGATCTGAACCCCATTGAGATCATGTGGTAGATCATTAAAAGCAATGTAGAAAGAAGAATTCTTAAAGATACTATCGAGTTAAAGCAATTTATGGTTGAAGAATTCAGTATATACACAATTTAATTAAATCTGAAAAATCAATCGTTGTTACAAAAAAAAAATGCAGATTTTTTTATACTGGATAAAGTAATTGATGGGCTTTTAAATGTGTCTACTTGTTCATGTTGTGTAATTGTTTAAGGTACAATTTTTTCGCAGCATCTTGTATATATATATATATCAATTGGGACTTGTTATTGATCATTGAGCTCAAGAAAAGGGGATGGTTGGATTTAATAGAATAACAAGATTCGAATGGTAGTGGTAATGATGACACTTAAAATCTACTTAATTAGAATGGTCCTTGGATCTTTCAATTTTTCAATTGTTCTTGTTCTAATTTCGTAATCAAATAATACATTTTTTCCAAATGTGTGTCTAACAAAGTACTAATAACACAATATAGTTTCAACAAAATATCCATTTCACATATTCATTATACAAATAATTAATTGACGATTGGCGGGGGAAAATTGACACAAAAATGACCAATCTGATAACTTTGCGCGAAAAGTTGTATTATACTTTTGTTCCACTATATATTTTTTTTTACAATATATATGTGTAAAATATCTCAAATATCATTGATATATTATTTTTTTTGTTCATTGTATTTAAAGGAAAAAAGCTTATAATAGGGGATGTATATAGAATTTTTTGATCATATTTGCTATAAAAATTATTGTGTAACAACATTTGGATTGAATAGACAACAGCAATAATAATAATACTTCGTCATAAGCAATTTATTTGTTATGGATTTAAGTAAGTTGATTAGCTTTGATACATATAGTCTTAATTTCATGAATTATATAAAATTTATTTTGAAATTAATTTTATTAATAGAAAAGCTTGTATTTCCAGGAAATTATTGTATAATTATTAGTAAAAATTATAGCAAAGAATAGAAGAAGCTTTTTTATTGAAAATATTTGTTAAATGTTTATTTATTGATCTTTTTAGAGTTTTTTTTTTTGAATTTCCAAAAAAAATTAAAAAAAAAGAATTCAATTAATTGGAGAACTTTTTTAACATTATGCGAACATGTTATTTGGTATGTTATTTCACACATCCATTGGTTAAGTTTTCCAGGGTAATGGTCATTTAGCATGTTTATTTTTACTTGGTGATGGTTTTTTTTTTAGAAAAAAACTAATTAATTGAAGAACCTTTTTTTAATGTTAGGTGAACATGTTATTTAATATGTTGTTCTGCACATTCATTGGTTAAATTGTCAGGATAATAGTCATTTAATATATGTTTATTTTTATTGATTTAAAAATTTAATCAACAATCTGTCTGTGAATGATAACTAGTTAAACAAAAAGTTTATAATGTTTATAATATACTCCTATCCCACTAGTACTAGATAAATTTTTTTTAAATGTAGCAAGTCCATAATATTATACAATTTTTTTTTCTATTTTAATAAACACATTTTCTTATTGTGAAATTAAACACCAATCAATATACTAACACATTTAAAGTTAAAATATGGACCATTATGACATTAAATAGTGAAAAAAAAAACATGAGGAATTATCCAAAATTGATTTCCAAGTATAAAATGGTTGGCAGAAAGCTTGCTTACTTTGTTCTTCCATTGACATTTTAAAATTAATTTTGCATAGAATAAATATTTATTGTGTAATGGGGATGTAGAATATTTTTTTTGTCAATCTTTTAATATAAAATCTGCCCCATATTTTTATAATAAATTGATCAACATTTCTCTCATTCATAGATGGATCATTAAGATTTTTGATGCATAAATTTGTTGTAAATTACCAACAAATGTTGCTCGTTAAAGCTATTTTTAACAATTTAATCAGTTAAATTAACCAGAATCCATGGCAATAATAATAATTTGAACAAAACTTATATAGTTGGCTCAGTCTAAAGACCTCCTAAATTTTCAGTTGGTAGACATTCAATACTGTACACTTTTGCATTCCTGTATTGTATGATCTGCAAATCAGCATTTCTATATTAAATGTTACGAGTACAGAATCCATTCGATTGGTGGGGGTGCTGTGTACTGTATGTTGATGTATGACTTTTTTAAAAAAAAAATTATTTTTGTAGACCATACAGTACAGGAATGCAAAAGAGTACAGTACTGAATGTCTATATACTCTAAAATTTTAAAAATATAGAAGTCACTTTCTGTCCTACCTTTTAAAAATATAGCTCTATTAGTTAATAGAATATGTCTTTAGTTTTAATGTTGTAGAGTTCTATTCTTTTTTAAAACATATCATATCCACCGATTTTTGCAACATTTTAGGGCACATTTATAAAAATTTCTAAGGGGTTACTATATAGTTACTATATAGAATTAGAAGCTAATTTCGCCCCCTTTTTTTTTGCTAAATCTACATATTAATATTAATATGCGCCA